CCCAATTCGGGTGGCGCGAATCGTTGGTCGGTGGCATTATGCGACTTTCATGATTGGTCACTATGTTTATTGCGTTTTTTTTAGCGAAGTCTAACAGTAGATGTACGCTGTACAGGTGGAGTACATCGTTGTGGATCGTATCGATTTCCGGACGTTAGAGTATTATATGGAGTAACATGTCATGAACCTAATGGCATACCCGCTGTAACACTCGCGACTCGAATCAAGATGAAGTGTACAGTATTTTGGACATTCTAACGGCTCCGGCCAGTGCCACTGTGATTGCCAGCTCAGCTGAGCACGGGCGCACGCAGGCCAGAAAAGAATGTCAACGAAAACAACGAAAAGAATGCTGTATGGAAAAAAAAATTGTCAACGCATCCACATCGACAGTCTGAGGCGTCGCTCCTCCTGTTCAGTTTGGAGCAGAAGGTTTGGACACAGGGCCTATTTTTCCAGGGCTGCTGCCCTAAATTTGAGTCAAATAGAGGGATTTTTGAGCTGATCACACAATTTGACTGGCGTTTTTTAAATCCCGGGGTTGAGGGTTCATTGAAACTGCAATCCTAGAGATTCAGGGTGTATTATTCTTCAACCCTGATAGTACTACTATTGCTGGTAGGGCAACAGGGGGGTTCCCCTAAGGAGGAACAACTCCCTTACAAGATTTTCGTTGTTCTCCCCTCACAGTAGGTACTCACACCTTGTGACAAACAGAGGGGAGATACCACCCTTAACACGTTGCTCACACTTCGAAGTCACAAACAGAGAGGGGAGACAACTCCCTTCGTAGATTTTCGTTCTCCCCTCACAAAACGTTACTCTCACCTCGTAGTCACAAACAGAGGGGAGACAACTGACCTGTGGATTTTCGCTATCCTCCCCTCACAGCCCCACGTACATTACGCACGCCCTTTATGTCTTGCCCATAAATCTCCGGGTAGATTCTTGCCGTGGCAGTTGAAAGGGTACTGTGCGAACGAGCTCTAATGATTCAGAATTACCTTTTTCTGGACCATGAAAAGTAAAAGTAAAATCCGAAGAGGCCTAGATGCTGAAGGGTTTTAAAAACCAAAAGTAAGCCCTGATTGGACAGCACCTCCCACATGGGAAGGGATTCCGAAACCAGCCAACGAACTGCTCAAACTCTGTCGAAAGAATAGGGTATTTACTAAGAAATATGGACTTTTGGAATCTTGTGCATTCGTGGCTTGCTGGGACTGACGTACACGTTGAGGATCATGCAGATCTTGTCATGCGCAGGTGCACTCTCTGAGTAAGGGGCTTTACTTTCAGAGAGGACTGTATGTTAGCATGCCAGCAGGTTACTCCAACATAGGTGGAAGAGCATCAGGTGTAAGGAACTATTGTTCCTATGTAGCACCAAAAGCAATTACTGTACATAGAAGAATTTGTAGAACGCCACTTGGAATGCACATTCTATTACGTTACTAACTGATTGGGAGTTCATGTGTCCGTCATGTTTAAAACTGCAGATGGTTTTAGTAAAGCAAGGGAATGCAATTAAGATCCCACAAGCGGCACAGCTATTCTTTGGTTAATATTCAAGAGCGTCCACGATTCTTTGGCCACACCTCTGCCCTAAGATTGTCCTCTCTCCTGTTCTGGTTCTTACTACTCACGTCAGTAATTTTGTTATGAATTCCGTCATTGCCAGTTCTGAACAATTCCTCAGCACTAGACTCAACTTTGCTGATTGGGTAGGAGACGGAATGTTTCCCCTTATCCCCGATCTCTTCGTCATCACTGCAGGTGGCCCCATTCTGGCTGTAAAACAGCTTGGCATCTGTCCAACGCGACCGAACCGAATTGACGAAACAGACATCGGGAAGGTGAGACGAGCCTTCCAGTGCTTCCCACTCTAGCCATGCAATTCCATGTGTACTGTACCGTCATTTGTTCCCATTCTGTACCGTCATCTCGAAATGGCCCGTTTCCATTTCCGTTTTGCAGCATGAAAACAAAGGATGGGTGGGGTGGGGTGGGGTGGGGGCAGGGGGAAGAGGGAGGGAGACAGCAGTCCAGAGGGCGTATTTTCTTATCCGGGAACACTTCTGGGAAGACTTCGAGGTGGTTGTGGCGTCCTCAATGGTTAGGGGTATCGAACTTTCCAGCAGCAAACCACTTTGTGATCGTCGACCCGAAGCCTCAGGTCTCCCACTTTGGGAAATCAGGAACCTGTCCCGAATCTTGCCCCGAGCTAAGAATGGGTGCTTGAGGTTTGTGGGGTGCGGTGTTCGAGTCAAATTCTCGTGGTGCTTCCTTGTTTTGGGCCATGCTTTGACCTACAAGGGGCAATGGCCTACACTATTAGGGGTGAGGCCGCTAAACGGGCACGCACAGTGGGGCTCTAACTATTTGTTTTGCCACCACGGACGATCCGAATCCCTCGGGAAATCATCATGGAAAATCCAACTTCGTCAAGGAATTGCCCTAATTCTTCAGAGTCCTCGTTCTAAAAGGCCTGATAGAGTGTGGGCAGTTCTTTCGGGACGAGACAGTGGGGTTGCGAGTGGGAGTGCTTCGGGGTGGGAAATCCGCCACCACAGATGCACCTGTGTACACTTAGCCCGCGTTACTTTCACACCCAATATTCTCACGGGGGGTGCCGCTGAGAGGGTACTCACCCCCCGAAAGCTGCTCCTGAAAACCAGATCCCCATACCCTTGAAAACAACCAGAACTTGGGTTTCTATATAAAACGTCTACTGCTCGCTTTAGTGTTTCTCGAGTCAGAAACCGGATGTCAGCTTAGGCAGTGCTCGAAGTTTTTTTCATGCGTTGATTCTGCCAAGCTTAGGCCGTAGGAACAAGGGGGTACTGTCTACGCACTCAGAGATGGTCAGGGTAGAAACAAATGTCTTTCTGCCGCCCAGTTTCAGGGTGTGAAATTACCGCGGGCTAGGTCTGGGGGCTCAATGTGGGCTAGGAGGGGCGGGGAGAAGGGGGTTGGGAGATGGGCTGGGGTGATTTTGGGGTTTTAGAACGTGCTGCTAAGTGACAATTGATCTGGTAGTACGTGGGGAAATACAGGTTAAGTACTAGCTCCTTGGCAGCTTAGGGCGTGGTTCATTTCCCAAGTAACATTCGTTCAAATTCTTACCGCACTAAATCGTTAAAAATAACAGCAAAACACAGAAGCGTACAGGAGCTGGCAATATTCAAATTTAAGCTATTCGATCCCTTCCGTTTTACAACTTTCCCCGAGTTTCGGGGAGAGAATGGTGGGGCTAAGGGATAAAAGGAAGACTGGGGACCTTGAGATATTCCTACATCCTCTAGAGGTTACCCAAGTGTCCGGGTCCTCTTAAAACCCTCTCCGACTCTAATGGTGATAGAGAAATCTCTCTGAATTTTACAGGGCTGGCCTGGGAAAAGTCTTGTAAAGTACAGAAGAGTTCGAGAAAACTTTGGATTTTCAGTCAAGTAAGGGTATTTACCTTGTTGTTACGTGCGTGTATTTTACAGTACATGTATAAATATATCTTCTCTCAATCAGTGGCAATGGCAACGGCAATGGCAATGACAATGTCAATCTTAATGTCAATACACCTAGCCCGCGGTATTTTGTCACCGAGTATTTTCACTGGGGGTCCCGCCGAGAGGGCATTCACCCCCCGAAAGCAATTCTTGAAGACCAGATCCGGATACCCATGAAAAAACATTTGACTTTGGAATTCTATTCGAAACGTTTACTGCTCGATTTAGTGCTTCTCGATTTAGGAAACCCGACGCCAGCTTATTCAGTGCTTAAAATCTTTGCTTGGGTGGAGTCTGCCAAGCTTAGGCCGTAGGGACAATGAGGTACTGTCGACGCACTAAAAAATGGCAAGGGTGGAAAAATAAATTCTTCTTCCGCTCAGTTTCGGGGTCTTATGATTAACGCGGGCTAGGTGTACTCTAGAATGGAAAAATGGGAGAAACTAAACATATAACGGGACGTTGTTGTTTTTTTTTTTTTTTTTCTTTTTTTTTTTCTATTTACCTCATGGCATATCCCTCGGTTTTCCAGACGGAGTGGGAGTTCTACCTCAGGTACTTATGCCAGTGTGGTGAGCAATCCTTTTCAGGTTGTTCGGTACTCCACCGATGATCTGCTAAAGAACGCGCAGGACACCCGAGTGTATGTGTCACTAAACCCCTCCCGCTGGTAGGCTCCAACCAGTTGAGATCGTCTAAAATTCACATACTCCTCCCGTTGGTGATTGTCATGTTTGTCTCTGTTCCCCTGATGTGAAGCCTGCTGCAAGCAGTGAATGGGAAATTTCTACTGTACCCAAGTTTCCAGCACCACAGAAACCCTTGTACACTGTAGATGAATATGCGCTGACAGCACTGTCCGGCTTGGCTCGTATCTTGTGCCCACAGTTTATACACGTATTATCGGTTAGTAAAAATACTTTTCTAGTCGAGTAATTTGCAATCGCTCTTTTCAATTCACTCTGCTTCCCTGTTTTCGACATGACCGTTTCGCAGGTTTCTTTTATATGGGCGGGTCCAAATAGTTCGTTATCGCAAAATACCATACATGACCATTCTAGCTTGCTAATCTAACGCTTTGAAACAGTAAGAAAGTTACTGCATCGCAATCAGACGTACAATTTGGACCCGCCTTAAGCTCCTGTCAGGGGACCAATGGGTGGTTCTCTCCTTTCCTCTTTTGGAACCCAGCTGTCCTAGCCTGCACTTACGCTACATGACGGAGTGAAGCGGCCTGTACAGATGTGCCCGTTTCCCGAGATCGAATCACAACGAATGTGGTTGCATATTGTGGGTGAAGGGGGACCGATCTGGGCGACAGGTGTACATCACAACTCAGATGCCACAGGCAAACCCTCCCTGCATTGATTGACTTTCTCCCATCCCATGCGTCACTGCAACCAGCTTTTCAGAGGGCAAGAGTCACCCAGCTTTTCTGGCTCTTCTCAACCATGCCCCCCACAATGCAGGCATGCATCCGAAAATCTCCGACCCGGTTTATCGCCGTCGTCCCTTCAAAGCTCACCCCAAATGTCGTACGTACGTCGTTCTCCATCGTACTGTAATAGCTTTGTTTCTGCAACAGCGAGATCTGTCTACTATTGTGAAGTACGAGTATCCCGAGCAGGCGAGCACAGATAATCCGCCTGACGCGGCGGCGGCTGCGTTACTTCCCCATCGATCGCGACGAACGATTCGTTACCCCAGCGTAGTACGGCGTGTGTAAATGAGGAGCCGCGGTCTGATAGTTTGAAACGCATCGAGTTCTCTGGTCTCACAAAAATCAGGTGTGAAATCCGGGATCGAGCGGCTTTTTCAAAAAGTTGTGAGTCGTCAGCCGCCGGCGTGACGGTAGCCGCTGCCGCCATTGCCGCCGTTTTTTCCGGAATGGACTCTGCTGCGACTCTCACCGCCATGGATTTTTGCGTCGATTCTGGTGCCGCCGCGAATCGCGATGCTAGCAGCAGTGGGGACGGGAGGGAACAAGGTGGGGAGGAGGAGGGTTGCGCTGCTGCCACGGAGGCTGCGCATAAGTGGAAAAAGTACTCCCATAAACGCTTGTCTCACGGTTTGAAGAGGTATTTTCCACGTCTCGCCCCTGCAATGCGGCAAATCCCTAGGCGCGGTGGCTGACTTTAGGGAGTCCCGTCCCGTTCCCTTTCCCTTCTCTTGTTCTCGGCGCACACCTTCTCTTGTGCCGTCATTTTTGCACATCTTTTCCGAAAAGATTCTGAATTCGCATGTGCTAATTGAGCCTCCTCATTCAACGCTCTACGATAACTGGCATTTGTAATGTAGTCCACTATGCATGGTTGGATTGGATGTGTGCATCCATACTTTGTTCGTGATGCAGTTTAGTGCACGCACGATGACATTTGTACTGTACACATAATGTTGCTCTCCATACCGCGTATTCTCGGCCACATTCTCCCACGATGTCATTTGTATTTTACTGTACACATTTGCTTTCGCTCGGCCCTTCCCTGCTCCATTTCCCTGAGTCGGACTCCCTCCATTCGATCGCACATCTGCCATTTCCTTCTCAGCTCCTCTCTGCACATTCTCCTCCGCTCATTCTCCTCCACTCATTCTCCTCCGCACATTCTACTCCGCACACTCTCCTCAGCCATTAGACACCTCCGCGTCTCCTCTTTCATCTCCTCGCCGCGCTGCATTCCCCTCGGTTTTTAACCCCGCGATTTCTATGGCTTCGGCACTCGCGTAGTCCGACGAGTAGTCGCGTGTGCTCGAGTGCTCGAATCGTCGCGCCTTAAAAATCATACTTTCACGACTTCTCGAGATCTCCGACCCTTGCCTCTTATAGCCGCGCCACGCCTTTCTCATTTTCTGTCCCCTCCGTGTTCTTTCTTGCCCCAACGTACCTTTTTTTGCAGGGTATACTTCCACTGCGCCTTCAAGGCCGTCACGGGCTGCCCGGCCAAGAAAATTGAAGACCGCTGCCCGGGGAAACCCCGTCGCAGCAGATCGCAAGCCGCCGCGCGGACTGCAGGCGGCAGCAGCGGCGACCGCGGCGAGACCGGCGGCGGGACCGGCGTCGGCGGAGGCCGCCGCGCGGGGTCGAATGGCGCTTGCGGCGCAAGACGAATCGCCGAGCATCGACGCGGGAGTGCCGTTGCCGGCGCCGGCACCGGCGGTGGCGGTGGCGGTGGCTATCGCGGGAGTGTGGAAGCGGAGGAGGCAGAGGCGGAGGCGGAAGCGGAGGAGCGAACAGAGATGACGACGGTAGTTTCGACGACGTTCGCGCATAAACACAACCACCCAGCACCTTCGACGCGGGGGCTTATTAGTGATAGTTCTACTAGTAACGACGGTACTACCGCTGCCAGTGCTGCTGCGGTTACGAGTAACGATGAAATCGTCGCACGGCAGGGAGCCGCCGTCGCACAACGAGCGTCGCCTCGACCGCCGTCTCCGCCGGCGTCAGCGAATGTCGCCACGGCGACTGTCGCAACGGCGGCTGTTGCTACGGCGATTGGGGACGCGGTTTCAACGGGGCAAAGTGGGGGTTTGATTCAGATTCCGCCGAGCTCGAGTCATAATATCTCGAGTTCAGGTCAGAGTCACTTACCTTCCGTTCTCGAGCCGCTTCGAGCTGAGTATACCGCCGCAGCGGCGGGGACGCCGCCCGCGCAGGCGGGAAACTGGCTAACATCAGGCTTTATTGAACGAGCGTCAGATGCTGCTTCGGATGCGGCGAGACTGATGACGAGTTACGATGTAACAGCACGAGAATCAGGTGTACGAGCTGCATTGGCGAACGTACAGCAGTTCGCGAACGGACAACTGTCTCGGTCGGGTTCGCAATCTCAAGTTTTGGGGTCGCACACTCGTCAGGTTGTTTCACACAGCCAGGCTTCATGTTCGGAGAGTCAAGAAGTTGGGTCGCACGGTTTCTTTCTTCGTTCGCGAAGTGATGCCGCGTCGTTTCCAAGTCAGCAGAAGCACGAATTTTGCCGAACTGTTGACAATAGTAACGGTTACCAGCCCTTCGCTGAGCTTCCCACGACGCAGCAGCAACCGCCTCCGGGTTACTGTACACTCTTAATGGATATCAAACCTGATATGGATTTAAGAAGTCCGATTGAGTTTTCAGGTGTAGATGAGTCCAACCAAGGGCGGGACATCGAACCTCTAGTGGAGTATGAGTTTGTTCAGCAGCAGCAGAATCAGCAGCAGACCCAGCAGCAGAATCAGCAGCAGAATCGGCGGCAGACCCAGCAGCAGAATCGGCGGCAGCAAAATCAGCAGAACTGGCAGCAGCTATACAACCAGCAACAGAATATTCTTTACTTTCAGCAGCAAGAAACACCGCAATTAAAGTCGCAACAGCATCCGCATGTTCAGCAGCAACAAATAGAGCAACAGCACAGTAATTACCAACAGCAGCTGCAGCTGCCGCAGCAGCAGCACCCACAGCTGCCGCAGCAGCAGCAACAGCAGCCACGTCACCAACCGTTTCGGCAGAATCAGCAGCGACACATTCAGCTCGAGCACCGGCAAGAACAGCAGCAGCAACAACAGCAGCAGCAGCAGCATCACCAGCACCAGCACCAGCACCAGCAACAACATCAGCACCAGCACCAGCAGCACCTGCAGCAACAGCAACAAAAACAAGAGCACCCACAGCAACACCAACAGCAACAGCAACAGCAGCAACAGCAAGGGCAACAGCAGCAGCAGCAGCAGCAGCAGCAGCAGCAGCCCTTCACCATTCCTCTTGCGGCAGCTGTCAGGCCAGACACTGTTACCACCAGCGTTACAAGCATCTCCGTTACACGGACAACCATTACAAGCACATCATTGAGCGATGTCAGCGATGCAGCAAACGCTAATCAGAGCGCACACATACCTGAACATATACCTGAACGCATACCTGAACACTGCTACTCATCCGAACACGACGCTACGGTGCTATTATCAGCTGCGGGCAATGTCACGCTGCATGATGATTTTCACAGCTCCTTCCCTGCAAGTAACGCCAGTATGCTTTACTCAACAGCCGGCTTCAAGGCGACACAACAGGCCACGGACTTGCTACCTTTCAGACAGGCCCCCCCGTGCGTTCCCGCTTCCCCCTCCTCCTCTGCTCCCAACTACCCTTCGTTCTTCCTGCCTCCTGAAACGCCTCAATCCGCCGTGCCTTTCCCCGCTTCTGGTTTCGAGGCGGCACAACAGCAGGCAGCTGACCTGCCCCTCACACGCCCTTCTCCGTGCATCCCCACTTCCCCCTCCTCCTTCTCTGCTCTCACGCCTCAATCCGCCGTGCCTTTCCCAGCTTCTGGTTTCGATGCAGCACAACAGCGGGCCTCTGTCTTACCAGTGATCGTCGAGAATTGTCAAAAACCACGTTTCGAGGCGGCAGAACAGCAGGCTAGTGTCTTGCCTCCCAGGCGCGCCTCTCCTTGCATCCCCTCTTCTCCCTCCTCCTCCTCTGCTCCCAACTTCCCAACCGCCATACCACCACCCTCTGAGGCGCCTCATAATGTGACTATAGGGAACCGTGCCTCACCACTACCCTCCGAGGCCCATCACAATGTGACTCTAGGGAACCATGCCGTACCACTACCCTCGGAAACCCCCCTTAATGCGGCTCTAAGTAACCATCTGCCCTCACTCACTTCTTTCGCACATGCATCCTCCGTCAGTTCCTTCGCCTTCCCCCTTTCCCGTCCACCGTACTCTAATTCCCTCGCCTTACCATCTCAGGGCCCTGTCCTTCTGCCTGTCCTTCCGCCTGTTGCTCCTCCTATCCCTCCGCTTATTCGTCCGCCCGTTTCAAACAACTCTCACTTGCCCCTACAGCAGCAGGAGCAGGAACAGCAGCAGCAGCAGCAGACCCAGCAACAGCAACAGCTACAGCTACAGCAGCAACAGCAGCAGCAGCACCCCTTGGTTTCAAACTACTCAGGCCAGCCAGAGAAGCATGCACCGGAGCAACAGCACGATCAGCATCAACAGCAGCAGCAGGAACAGCAACAGCAACAGCAACAGCAGCAGCAGCAGCAGCAGCACCACCACCACCACCAAGAGCACCAGCACCAGCAACAGCATCAGCAACAGCATCAGCAACAGCATCAGCATCAGCAACAGCAACAGCAACAGCAACAGCAACAGCAACAGCAGCAGCACCACCGGCAAAAACATCAGTGCCCCCTCGTTTCGTCTCTTCCACACCAGCCATTGCCAAGCACACCACTGGCAGCTGTACTCGTTACAAGCACAACCGCGCTCATGGGTTTGGGGCAGCAGGGAAGCATGGGGATGGGGCGGCAAGAAAGCATGGGGATGGGGCAGCAAGAAAGCATGGGTTTGGGACAAGCACAGAATGGCTCCCTTCCATCTCTTCACTCTCTCCCCTCGTTTCGAACCCTCCCATCCCTGGGAGCCCATACATCCCCCCCTGCCCCGCCAATCTTCCCATCCCATGCATCCCTGCCCTCCCTCCCACCCCAGACATCCCATCCACCCCATGCATCCCTCCCACCCCATGCACCCCTCCCACCCCATGCACCCCAACCACCCCATGCACCCCTCCCACCCCGACCATCAACCACCCTTCACCCACCGGTCGAGCCAGCAACCCACAGCAACAGCCACCCTACCTCAGCCTCCCATGCCCCCCTCCTATCTCACCCACCCCTTCCGACCCCCACAGCAGTAGCAAGAGCAGGGGGGGAAGCAGACGGAGGGGGCCATCAGGAATCCGCAAGTGCAGCTGGGGTGGCAGGTTCTGCAGCAGGGATGGCGGTAGGAGGAGCAGGAGGAATGGCAGGAGGGGGGGCAGGAGGAGGAGGAGCGGATGAGGCGATGGAGCTGTATTCGAGCTTGCTGGAGGACTTGGGTACCTGGGGAGGTGGGAGAGAGGTGGCCAACACATGATGCTGTGGATGCTGCTGCAAGGACAGCAGTAGTACAAGGAGAGTGGGGCGGGAGGAGGCACTGGGTCTGTGCTCACCATGAATGCCAGGAGGAGGAGGAGGGGGGGGTGAGGCACTGGTGCTGTATTCGAGCTTGTTGGAAGACTTGGGGATGTGGGGGGGTGGGAGAGAGGTGGCCAACACGTGATGCTGGGGACAAGGGCAGTGCGTGATTGTGGTGGTTGCTGCACCAATAATGGCAGGAGGAGCAGGAGGTAGGGGGGATGAGGCACTGGTGCTGTATTCGAGCTTGCTGGAGGACTTGGGGACGTGGGGGGGTGGGAGAGAGGTGGCCGACACGTGATGCTGGGGACAAGGGCAGTGCGTGATTGTGGTGGTTGCTGCACCAATAATGGCAGGAGGAGCAGGAGGTAGGGGGGATGAGGCACTGGTGCTGTATTCGAGCTTGCTGGAGGACTTGGGGACGTGGGGGGGTGGGAGAGAGGTGGCCGACACATGATGGTGATGGTGGCGGTGGCAGCACGGATACCACAAGCGCATAGTGGCAAAGGCACCAACCAACACATGTGGATGGTGGCACTGGTACAAGCATATAATGGCATAGGCACCAACACATGGTGGTGAGGTGACATGGATACAAGCGCGTAGTGGCAAGGGCACCAACCAACACATGCGGATGGTGGCAAACGCACCAAAAAGTGTGCTGCTGCTGCATGTGACTGGCATGGATTAGGTATTGCAGGCCACATACCGGTATTTTGAGCTGCATAGTGTACTAGTCAGCTATATATGAATAATAGTACTCATAGAATATAGCCTTCAAGGCAACATGGTAAGGGTGTTGGATTAGTGTACTGAAGTTGATTATGGTTTGATTTGTGCAGTGCAGTGGTTATTTCACTCTTTCACAAGCAGCACTGCACCCGGTAAGGGAACCTACAATAGTAGCAGTGCCTAGGAGCGATTTTCCTATGGCCAACCTGACATCCATTTTGCAAACCCACACTCCATATCAGCCCGGATAAAAGTCTCATGGGTCTTATCTGTCAAACATTAGTTTATCTAGTGTTTGTATAGACTGTATAGGGTCACCTCTTAGAGAGTACAACCCTTAGATATGTATGCTTGTAAACTATATATGAATAATAGTACTCATAGAATATAGCCTTCAAGGCAACATGGTAAGGGTGTTGGATTAGTGTACTGAAGTTGATTATGGTCTGATTTGTGCAGTGCAGTGGTTATTTCACTCTTTCACACGCAGCACTGCACACGGTAAGGGAACCTACAATAGTAGCAGCGCCTAGGAGCGAGTTTCCTATGGCCAACCTGACATCCATTTTGCAAACCCACACTCCATATCAGCCCGGATAAAAGTCTCATGGGTCTTATCATATACTGTTTAGAAATAGTCCAGTGCAGACCAAATTGTCTTATAAACGGGGAAAAAATGGTGTTAGAGCATATTCCTACAGAGTGCTGTTCAGTACCAGGATAGCCAAATGAGCGTTTGAACACTGTGTTGTGATTGTAGCAGGAACAGGGCCAACTTTTGGATATTTACAACTCTGAAATCAGGGGGTGCCTTTTTCGTTACTCTGAAAATCAGAGTGCTCCCCAATGGTTTCTCTGGTTTTCCAGGGTTTTTTTTACTTATAAACAAATTACACTGATAATGCAGAGGGGCTTGAAGTAACTCTCTGCAGCAGGGTCTTCTGTACGCGCGAGGCAAGATCGGGAGATGGGGGGGAAACGAAAGGGAAGGATCGAGAGATTGCAGGGGCGTTAGAAACCGAGATTCCATGTGCGGAGGGAATAGAGCTGGTAGGGGAGGTCGACACAGCAGGGGCGGGGAAGGGGAATCTTGCACTCCCCTCCCCCTGCGAACACAAGTTGGCCCTAAATCTGGTGAAGGGCCCAAGACGCCCTCACACAGCCAACAATGCCTCTTGCTCGAGCCCTAGATTTGGTAAAGGGCCACTCAACGCCCACACAAGCCTTCGAGCACAAATGGCGCGGTGATTTTGGTGAAGGGACAATTAGCCCCCTCACACAGCCTTGAGCACGGGCCAGGCGATGATTTCGATGGTGCGCGTGACATGACCTGTTCTGCGGGACAGGGGGCACGGCTAGGTACAGGGGGTGGGGACAATTTCACGGGTATCCCCCCTATACACTGACCATCAGAGTGGTACGAAGGTTTGCTCTGATAAAATCAGAGTAAAAAGTAAAATCATTTTTTTTTAACTCAGGGCCCCTAGAGTAGTTTTCAAAAACGACTCTGATTTTCAGAGAAACTGAGTAAATTACTCTGATAAAACAGGCCTTGAGCAGGAAGCTCTTTAGTACCAGGATAGATGGCTTCGCAAGCGTGTGCTCGGCGACCACTCACTGCGAACAAACTGTTAAATTATATAAGTTATTATATACGTGTAGGCTTGGTAGATGTTACTGAACATTACTGTAGAGGGTACAACACCCCTCCTTGTATCCATCTCTTCTCTTTCCTAGTCCTCTTTTCTCTCGTCAAACTTCACGCCTACCTCCTAGATCTAGATCTCACGCCATATTCATGGCTTCACCTATTCCTACCTAGCCTATCTTCGCAACATGGTTTCAGAGCAGGACGCCCTTCCCGGGCCTGCTCTCCACGCTTCCGCCGCGTACTCGTCCTTACCGTGTCGCCGTCACGGCCTTCTGTCCGTTTGCCGCCGTCGCGGCCTTCTGCCTTTTCGCCGCCGTCGCGGCCTTCCTACTGCCTGCCACCGTGGCACAGTTTCCAAGATACCGCGGCGGCCCCTGCGTGCTGTCGGCCCAGCGTCGACGAGCAGCTGCGGCGACGACGCCACGCTATGGTGGCGCCGTCCTGGTGCCGTGGCTGCGACATCGGCCTGTTGCCGTTGCGCATGACCTGCGTCGCTTCTGGAAATGCAGCCCGCCCACTCACCAGTAAGCGCCGCGCCAGCAATGGCGCCACGCTGAAGATTCGAAGCCCCGCCCCTTCCCCCTTTCCTCTGTCCCCTCCTCTTCGCCACAGCCGCCGTCAGACTCTCGCCGGTCGTTCCCCTGGTGCGGAGTTTGGACATGCCGCCGGAAGGGCGGGGGCCGCTACCGTCACCGCCGCTGTAAGCTGAAGCCGCCTCCGTTGCCGCTGTCGTTGCCGCAGGCCTGTTGCCGCCGCAGGCCGGTTGCCGCCGCACGCCCGTCGTCGCCGTCGCTGTCGCCGCTGCCGGGACTGCCGCCGTCGCCATCTCCCAGGCCTTGGGGTTGGCCCTATTGGAGTCATCGTGGCTGATGGGAATGGGGGTGCTAGGTTAGGGGGTGTGGGGGTGTGTGGGTCCTTCTACTACCAAGCCTAGGGGGTGTGTTAAACTATATAAGTTATTATATAAGTGTAGGCTTGGTAGATGTTACTGAACATTATTGTAGAGGGTACAACACCCCTCTTTGTATCCCTCTCTCTTCTTTCCTAGTCCTCTTTTCTCTTGTCAAACTTCACGCCTACCTCCTACATCTAGATCTCACGCCATATTCATGGCTTCACCTATTCCTACCTAGCCTATCTTCTCGACACAAACTACCACACATGTGTTGGCACTCCACATGGATGGCGATGCCACCAGTGGCAGCTCGTCTGCCACCCTCCAACCTTCAAATCCATCGTTCGCTCCTGAATGGCGGAACGGCTTGTCGTTTCGACAAAACATAATGGCACGCGATATGTATGCGACGAGTCAGGTGCTGTTAGCGAATGTAATTATATCGACTGACTTATCAAAAGGCACGCGTGCGAACAAGCTGGGTTGTGGTCCTGGTACTGGACTCCACAAGAATCGCTAGTCACGGTGTTGAGGAACATGTTTTCCATTGCTCGTACCGAGCACCACTCCGTAGGAATACGATCTTAGAGGGTCTTATAAACTGAACCATCATAACTTCACCCAAAAAAATGCTACATTTGTTACACCAAAAGTCTGGCAAAGTTTTCCATAAGGAATTTGTCATATAGGGGGCGATATTTTTGCATCCCTCCTACCACCTGCAACCATCCCAGCCGTTTATCAGCCGTCATGTCACACCCAAGGGATGGGGCGGGCTGACACATAATGCACCAGCACTCTGTCCTCTGCAATAACAGAGTCCTCTACGAGGAATCACAAAGTGCCTTTGGGACAGTGGAGTCGGAGGAGGGTAGACCCCTCCTCCGCTCCTTTGCAACTCAACCTTCTCCAGAAATGTCACAGCCTGACGCGCCTCAGCCTGCCAAGCTCTTGCCGTCAATGCCTTACTGACATGCGTAGCAAGCACAGTCCACCATGGAGGGTGACTCGTGACGGACGACGACAGTCAGGAGACATAACACCTACACGTATGTAGGTCAACATATTCAATAAGGTGACCTCCCCTAGCGACACCATTAACGGTAGTGTGTGGCCTGTAGAAAAGGCCTCTGCAAGCCATTCTCCAAGCTGTCATCTCCCCCTCATGGCGTCTAATGACGACGCGGAGGATGGGGGTGCCGAGGCTGACGGCTCGGCATGCTACGCCGCTGACGCCGAGGACGATTGTTGGGCAAGGCCCGTCGGCTCCAACGAGGAAGTTGAGGAATGACATGCGGGCGACGAGGCAGGCAGTGGGGAGGGCGGCGATGCGGGCGACGAGAACGCATGCGGGGAGGGTGACGATGCGAACGAGGGGCCGAGCGGTGAGGACAGGGACGATGCAGACTACGGCAAGGCCGACGATGCGGCTAACGATACGAGCGACGAAGAGGACAACGATGTGGACGAGAAAGCTGACTTCAGTGCAGTAGCTGCGAAAGTCGCGCGATGTTGAGGCTGGCCAAAGAAGCAGACCCAATGCGATGACGAGACGACATGGACATCTATGCGCAGCGGAGTAAGGGCCTTGCGGTCATCATCCACGATATTAGGGAATGGAGTTGGAAGTACATGCGTAGACGCGATCCGAGACCAAATGGCAGGGGTCGAAGTGCTGGAGCCAACAATTTTGAAAGCGGTGGGGGTTCATGTTGCGCTGCCGTAAAAAGGTTGGGCAGAGGCTCTCACCAAGTAAGCTTCTCGTGCCGAGTCATGCGGTTGCCTTAGCGTGATGTTGCCTTCTCAGTCTATGTATCCGTCTCGTGTGTGGAGCCTCTGTCTCGATCTGCTTCTGTAATGTGTCTCCTCATCCGCTACTGCCTCTCTCCCGTTCTCCCCCCCCCTTCCCCTCTCCTCTCCCCTACCTCAGAGTGTGTTGCATATTGCAAGGGGTTTTGGAAGTTCGTTCGCATCAACCGTGCCCGCTACAAGATGGATTTACGCCGCATCATTAACACCAATCAAACTCCACTTTTTGTGGAGATGCCGACGGGGCATACGTTGGAGCAAAAGTGGTCCCGCTTGGTGCCAGTGAAGACCGCCAGATACGAGAAGCAACGCCTTACTATGATGCTGACGTGCATGGCTAGCGCTGACAAACTCCAATGATGGGTATGGTTCAAGCGCAAGACCATACCCAAGTGTGATTGCCCATCAGATAAGCCTATGTGGACTCTCATTGGATTCATACTCGCTTCCACTCATGTGGTGAATGCTACACCATTAGTCTAACTCACATGCATCCGTTGAGTGACAGTGGTTTGCAAGGGTTGAGGTGCAGCCCAAGGGGAACAGCTGGATGGATGAGGCGGCCGTGAAGAAGTGGGTGGAGAAGAAGATTCTCTCCTTGTGAGAGTACGACCCCGTTACACCACTTGGCCTTTTCTTATTTCCTTCCCTTTTCATTTCTCGTTTTACCGCATCTCATTTGGTTTCCTATTCTTCCTTTTCCATTAACCTTTGGTTTATCCTGCTATTATCATTATATCACCGACC